GTGACCTGTTACACATAGTTTTATTTTCCCTGGTTCGAAATATTATATATATATACGTCTCTCTCACAAATCAATTGATGAATTGAGGGTTTTTCACTTGGTGAGCCACTTCTTTTTTTTACAATAAATAGCAGTAAAAAACAACCGTACATTTGTGGCTTTTAACTTCTTGTAGCTTCTCTCATATTGTAGTAAACTGCATCATTAAGAGCCATTTTTATTGCTAAGTGATCATAAAAAATAAGTCTCAGTGTCTAATAATAATTAGAAAAAAAATCATATAATAATAATAATGATAATAATAATATCGTCCTAATAAATTGCAAATATGCAGAAACAGAAACATTGTGGGCAACACAAAAATAACAAATAACAGGCATAAAAAAAATATCAAGTTGAAATCAAAAGAATCGGTCAACAGACACATACTGATACTCGTTATTATTTTCTTATACATTAGGATAATAATATAGTATAAACAATAAACAAGGTAATCACAGTAGAAAAATCGCACAATTGCAGAAATTGCAGCTAGTCTAAGAAATTCCCAAATGTTTGGCGGCCCTTCTCACTTCTTCTCGCGAATTCATTGGCAAGACTTTGGACAGAAATTGTGTCGAGCAAGACGTGATGGCTGTTACACACGGCAACCGCGTTCAGCCTCCGCTGAGTCATGGTGTTCCTCAACCACGTCTTGAGACGCCGAAGAGTGGAGATGCTCCGCTCGCATTCACTCGAAAAAACCGGGCATACAAGAAGCAACTTGAGAAGAGTCGCAACTTATGGGAAAAGGTCTCGTACTTCCTGCGTCATGCCACGGTACGCGACTTCGGCTTCATGCACACTGCTTGCCCCCGTTGGCTGCTTGAACATTGCAAGCTGTACGGCTAAGATATCTTTCTGTAAAGAGAGTTTCAGTAAAATAATGTCATTCTTGGAACGAGTTACAGACATTTTACAGTAGATGCATGTCACTTAATTTCCATTTGTGTAATAATACATTAGAAGAGTATGAATAGCGATGACGGATTTGTAGATAAATGTTCAGTATTTATTGTCTGTAAAATATGGAATTTTTCTCCACTTTCCTCCTGAAAGTAAGGGGGGAGGGGGATGATTGTACATGCTATCTCCCACCTCAATAAGTGTCAGAGAGATAGAGAGAGAGCGAGAGAGAAAGAGCGAAGGAGCGCGAGAGCAAGAGCTTGCAGGGCATCACGACTATCATACGAGCTACATTTACCCACGTCTAGGAGAATATGCGCATGTAGATATATGCTCGTTCGTTCAGTTACAAAATATGTAGGCTAAATATTTTTAAACCTCACATAATTAGCATTTACTATAATAAGTACTTAAAACGGACCATTTATGTAGGTCATGTTAAACACGACAATGTCATTATTATTTACTGCAGTTGGATAAAATGACTGACTGCACGAATTCCGTAATATGCGTCTATCCACTTCCCATGACTCTAATTAAGGTTTCCTCTCTCACCACTCGTCTGTCGTCGTAATAATTAATATGATTACTACATGGATATTACTGGAGTGTAAATAAAGTATTTAAAGTGGCACGAATGTATTATATATGGTAGCTATATCGAATTATATTTACAGTTGTTTTGATGATAATATTTTAGGAGGTAACGTTCGTCGCGGACATGCCAGCAAATCTGCTCACGCTCCGAGACATGACAGAAGATTTCGAGCTGACTGGCTTCACAGAGCAGGATAAGCTGCGGGAGGTGCAGAAGTATGCTGCGTTCTTGAAGAAAATTCTAGAGAGGCAATCCCATTTGGCCGGGACGTGCGAAGTCATCATTTACAGAGGTATACCTATATTGTAGTATAAACGAATTTTTTTTGTGTAATGTTAATGCTTTAAGGCAGGTTTGACCTTGTTTACTCTTCCGAACAACATTTGAACTTGGGTCATTGCGTGAGTATGTCATTTAAGAGACGTGATGCATTGTCAAATACGTAAAAACACCTACGGCTCCCGCTCTGTCACTCTCCCCCACCATCTCGAGCTTTCTCTGCTTTCTTCTTCCTTCTCTCTCGCGCGCTCTTACTCTCTCTCTCTCTCTCTCTCTCTCTCTCTCTCTCTCTCTCTGACTCACTCGCCCCTCCTGTCCTCCCGCTCACCCTCTCTCTCTGCATCACTAAGTGGCTCTCTTTTTCTCTTTTCTAGATGAAGTCGTGGGAGTTGCTGACATCCTGCAGACATCATATAAATAATTAAGTTAAATAAAATTATTTCTGAGCTGTATGAGCAGAAGAAGCATGAATTCTATGTCACCTTTATTTTCTTAACGTGTGGGGTCGAGGGGCCCGCCGTAGGGGCCCTGGCGGGATTACAGGGGCAGAGGCCCTTACCGGGGGAGCAGGGGGCGAAGCGCACGGAAGCTCTTGGATTTGAGCAATTTAGAACCTTCAAGATGGCAGTTTTTGAGGAATAAAATAGTAAAACTTTTCCTAGGTTTGTGACGTTCCCCATTGTTTTATTATGTTAGAAATATATATATACGTCTCTCTCACAAACTCAATTGTATAGAATTAAGGTTTTTCACGTGAACCACTTATTTTTTTACAATAAAAGCAGTAAAAAACAACCGTACATTTTGTTTTAACCATTTGTACTTCTCATATTGTAGTAAACTGCATCATTAAGAGCCATTTTTATCGCTAAGTGATCATAAAAAATAAGTCTCAGTGTCTACTAATAATTAGAAAAAAAATCATATAATAATAATAATGATAATAATAATATCGTCCTAATAAATTGCAAATATGCAGAAACAGAAACATTGTGGAACACAAAAATAACAATAACAGGCATAAAAAAAATATCAAGTTGAAATCCAAAGAACGTTCAACAGACACATATCTGAATACTCGTATATTCTAATACGATTAGTATTATAATATAGTATAACAATAAACAAGGTAATCACAGCTAGAAATCGCAGCAATTGCAGAAATTGCGCAGCTAGTCTAAGAACTTCAAATGTGCGCCGCTCTCACTCTTTCGCGATTCATTGGCAAGACTTGGACCGAAATATTGTCGAGCAAGAGTGATGGCTGTTACAACCGGCAACTCGCGTTCACTCCCCTGAGTCATGTGTTCCTCACCACTTCTTAGAGACGCAGAAGAGTGGATATCTGCGCCGCAATTAACTCGAAAAACCGGCAATACCAATGAGCACTTGAGGGGTAACCTTGTGGAAAGGCTCGTACTTCCTGTCATGCCAACCGTAAGGCGAATTCGGCTTCATGCAGCCTGTTGCTCCCTCGTCGGTGCTTGACATTGCAAGCTGTAACCGCAAGATATCTTCTGTAAGAAAGTTCAGTAAAATAATGTCATTCTTGGAACGAGTTACAGAATTTTACAGTAGATCATTTCACTTAATTCATTTGTGTAACAGATACATTAGAAGGTATGAATAGCGATGACGGATTTGTAGATAAAGTTGTGTATTTATTGTCTGTAAAATATAGGAATTTTCTCACTTTCCCTCATGAAAGTAAGGGGGGGATATGTATTGCATTCCCACTCAATAAGTATGGGGATATGTCCCCCCCGCCGCTATCTACGCCCCTGTCCCTGGCACAGCTCAGGCGCGCCTTACAGCGGATCTGCTGCAACGTCGATCTGAGGCGACACGACTACAGACGGCAACAAATAGAATCAGTATAGTCAACCTTTATGACAGGAGCATCCAGTCGCGCGTGCTAACGGAGCGAAAAAACAGGGACAGCAGCGAAAAACAGTAGATGACAGGACTGTTGCCACCACAGTGTGACAGAACGGTGGTCACCAGAATGTGTTAGCACACTAGTATATATAATATATATATATATATATATATATATATATATAATAGGGAGAGAGAGGAGAAAAAGAGAGAAGAGAGAGAGAGAGAGAGAGAGAGAAAGAGAGAGAGAGAGAGAAGAGAAGAGAGAGAGAAGAAAGAGAGAGAGAGAGAGAGAGAGAGAAAGAGAGAGAGATAGAGAGATTTGCGCGTCACCAACAAACAACGGAAGATCAGAGCCACAGAGGACGAAAGTTGTATTCATGTTGCATTCACAAAAATCATAAAAACAACTAGAGCTGTACTCTGGTATCATTGCTTCTTCTACTTTTACTACTACAGATACACGCACACAGGTTTACATGCATAACCGAACTAGACACACATAGAACTAATTGCATGAACATCGTTCTCATTTAATTTTATCTGAGCGTGATCTTTCGACACGTGCCACCTTCAAAGGGTCCCTCTAAGTTTAGGTTCTTTGTTTTTGTCGTTCCATTAGAATTTTCTCTCTTCCTCTTTAGTTAATTGCAAATATGATACTTTTTGTACTTTTTGCGATGCGCAGTGCTGATCCGTCTATTTGATCAACGTTGTCTCTTTCCGCCTTCGACATAGTCCCTTGGACTTTAAAGACTAATATTTATGAGGTTAATAGGTTAGTGGCCTCGGCTGTAGAGTTGGCGCGTGTCTGACATTTCATTGCTGGCCCACGCAGTTATATGCCTTGCTTCGGTGCTGAATTGACTGATGACGATATGACAAAGGTATCACACTCCCAAACTAGCCAATCGGTGCTGGTATAGGTGAAATAATTTGATTTTTGGTGGATATGGACAAGCGTTTTTTTCATCGCTACAAGGAAAGGCGCTACATAATTATGTGTAAGACACGTAAATTGCCTGTTTTGCGTGGTTCTCGAAAAAGGTTTCTACAAAAAACATGAAACAATATTCGAGTTAACAAAATTGCTCTGCCTTGCAATGTAGCGGTGTCGAGTGGCACTGCGACTTCCTCAAAAGAATTCCGGGTGATTTACTGGAATTTCTTTTAGCTTAGTATGGTCACCAATGGAGAATTATTTCACCTTGTAAAATCATACGCCCATCTGAACGTATAATCTTAGTTACTCAACTGTCCGCTAGGGACGCTAATGCCTTCACTACGGCTACGACCACATCGGTGCATATTATAATAACATGATATTATTTACAGCTCAGTGACTACGGCGGAGAAATAATTTTCTAAAATCACTTGAATCTCTGCGGTCTCGGTCGAAACACTGCGGCCAGAAGAATAGTAATACGTTAATACCCCCGATAAAAGATGCATATACATATACATAAAAGACGATTTTCACACGCGCACACGCACATACACACTCATACACATGCACGTGCGCAGCACACACACACACGCACACACACACACACACACACACGTACACGCATATATGTATGAACTAAAATGTAAGATGATAAATGCGCTGGCTAGGGCGACAGTGAACACTCGAGTCTTTTCTTGTCGTGTACGTATTTTATTGATTAATAGCGTTAGGATAACATTGAACCGCGTTCGCTTGACTGATGCAACGTGGGGTGGGGCGATACGTCGTGCAAACAGAATACCGTAGTGAAAGGTCATGGCGGACGTTACTATGAGGTGTATAATGTATTTACAGAAATATTGTACTGTCTACTCATATCGAGTTGTCGGCTTTAGTTCATTATTGATTGCAAAATTTTATGTCGTATGTGTAATTTTCACATTTGCAAGCATCCACAGAGAATACAACAACGCGTCGATACAATAACGTAGGTGAATCTTTTTTATTAATTGCCGAAAATAGAAACATTGAAGGGCATTTAAAAGAAAAATGAATTATTAATTCAAGAGCCAAAAAGTTTCTATATACCATAAAATTTACATCTAAATGCTACTATTTCCTCTCTATCGATATTTAAAAATCCAGACATCACAGATATTGCTGAAAATTTAGTTCTTCGTGGTATTTCGACTTTTACATTATGAATAAATGCAAGAGGTAGCTATAGATTAAAAATAGCAACATCCACGAACTGGCGTGAATAAGGCGGAGGGCGGGGCCTTGCGGTCATCAAAGGCTCGGAAACAGGACGTGCTTGGTCGCAACAGTTAGTTGTTGAGGGGGTTGGTCATCAGCAGATACATCTTACAGCTTGCCTCTGTAGTCAAAGTCAAAGTTCTTGACGTGCTGGACGAGCCTGTAATAACATTGAAATGTCATCGTAAAGCCTATTAAAAAAATAGCGATATGAATACCTTATCTCACGAATAGCCTATGTCGAAATTTTGGGCGTAAAGTTATAAGCTTGAGGAGCGGAAGCTTAAAGTTTAAATTGTTTTAAGCTAATCTCCGCGAAACCTAAGCGACATGTAGCAGCTATGACCGAAAGGATAAACACACAAGCAAGTAACGGGACGGAAAGAGTAGACTGACGACCCTCCAAAAACACAATAGGGGCAATATTGTTCGAGAACGTACCAGTCCTTGCAGAAGTCGACATCGTCGATATTGACTGGGGCCGTCAACCTGCTGAGCTTTCCAATGAACTCATCGTGCGCAGCCTTGTGGGCCGGGAAGCCGTGGTAGTTGGCCCTGATCATGACTCCCTAAAATAAAGAAAGATTAACTGATGTGCTAAAAGTTAAACCGAATACAGAGGCAAATTGAGGTCGAGGCATATTGAGGTTACTCGGTATCATTAGATTATAGAATGGGAATACGCGCATAGATAGTTAGAGGAAACACTATCGTTGAATGACATTGTACACGCTGATGAATGCAGAGATTATACAGAGTATTCTAAATTGTACAAACCTGCTCATATGTGAAGTGAGCAACCATCAGGTCCAAGCACTTCTTCAAGGTTTCCGAGCAGATGGGGTTGATGGCAACATCAAAGATGATCTGGAAAAGTCCCTTGTGCTCGTTGTCCACCTGGTCGTACTGTAGAAAGAAAACGCTTGATTATTAACTATTAATATTTAATATAAAATAAACCATTATTCACTAAAAGTAAATGACGTATTGGAAATTATGCCTAACTTAGTGTATAGTGAATATATTCTGCTATTTTAGATATTAGCGCTCTGGTTATTCTCAAGAAGAATCGAATAATTAATTTACGTAAATTTTAACGATTAATATAATGCACAGTATTTGCAAAATCCGAATATTTAAGATTAAAACGTGCCCTCGCAAGCACGTAGTAACTTGGCAAGAATGTAATAATCTATACCCATCTACTAGTCATTTAAATAGTGGAATTCCGCGAATACTTACGAAGGTCATGAAGCTGTCATCCCAGCAGTATGGTTCGGGAACTGTGAAAGGCATGATGCTAAGTGTCTCAACTGTGCTGACTGAACACGAGATGAATCTTGGACCAATGCAAGGGTGACGATTTCAGAGACTCGGTCGGTCTTTTATAGGTGGATGGGACCACAGAATCGCGTCACTGCAACAGGGGTCACCGTGTGCCCACGTCCGATAACGAGACACGATAACACGATTGAACTTTTCGTCGTGGATATCCACGCGTAGTTATCGCACGACTGTTTCTGTTATTTCCGTGTACGAAATACAAAAAGCGAACCTCGAATGCTAACGTTCTGTGATTTTAATGTATTAAGCTAAAATATTAACCGTAGCTCATTTCCCCCGTTCACTGGAATGCGACCATCATTTTAGTAATGTCCAGGGTGTATGCAGTGTACGTGCACGCGCTCACGCATCTACACGCAAAAAACACAGGAAACCGTCAAATGTATTACTTCTCATTATGGAACTAAAAAATCAAAATCTAGGCCTGATTTTGCCTTTCGAATCACGCCACGAAACCAGCACGTGGCCCCAACGTAAAAAAAATGTCGTTTCGATTCGATCAGTACGTGTAATTGTGTCAGTACGCGAGTACGAGAGTACGCGAGTACGAAACCCACACATCCCGCCAGTACCCTACTTCATAACCATAATATAAATTCAAGAGTTAAAACGAAGCTAAACCAAAGTAATAATTAATTAAATAAACAAAAACCACGTATTAGCAAAATGTAACTGCTGGGAAATGATTCGACGGTAGCACCCATTGCACATTGTAAATTTCTATAATATATTACCTACGCGCAGTGCAAACAACGAACAACTCTGAAACAGAGAGCCTGTAGTGAGACATCATATTTAATATAGTTAATCTTAATGAAAACCACACCACCACATTAGGTTGGGTCCATACGACAGCATAAGAATCCACTTGTCTTCACACTGTCCGAGACAGATTATTAACAAAGCACATGCGCAATATGAGAAGGTCTAAATCGATGTAAATGAACGTGGATTTTTGTAAATTATAACGCTTAATTGAACCATAAAGGCATCTGTAGCCTAACTCGAAAATGACCTTGCCATTTAAAAAAAACATGAAGAATAAATCACGGCGAATCGCAATCGGAGCGGAGAGGAAATGTATCCGGTCTGGAGATAATCCTAAACTACTATGTTCATCCATGCACGTGTTGTGATTGGCTAGACAGGAACGCGTGCAGACAGGGGCAACAATCGGTGAATAAACGCTGATGTAATGCGTTTCGAAAAACTTCCCTCTCGTCGCTCGAAAAAAGACAACATGCAACATAGAATAAAATAAAATAAAATAATAATATTAATATTAATATTAATATAAAATAAAATAATATAATATAATATAATAAGTATATAATATAATAAATATAATATAATATAATATAAATAATATAATATAATATAAAAATAATATAATATAATATAATAATAATATAATATAATATAATATAATATAATATAATATAAATAATATAATATAATATATATATAATATAATATAATATAATATAATATAATATATTAATATAATATAATATAATATAATATAATATAATATAATATAACACGCTCACGCGCTCATACGCACACACGCACACACGCACACACGCACACACGCACACACGTACACACGCCACACACACCACACACACACACACACACACACACACACACACACACACACATACTGACACACACGCAGACAGACACGCACACGTGCATATGCACACGCACACGCAGACACACACGCACGCACGCACACAGACAAATACTTAGATTAGCAATATGGCTTGTTGATCACAATAAACTCTACTAGTCTACATAAATTAATAAGGCAACGTAATGCAAAATTGTTTGCACATGTGTTTGACATTCTTTTATTTGTTACGGCCAAACTATTATTAAAATCACTGTTTTATTGTGAGTACACGTGTACGCATTCGTAACGTAACGTATCATATTGCGATAATCCTTAAACACTCAATCATATTAATTAGCTAGTCGGCACGAACACGGTGATTGAATGTAATCTAGAGCCGAAATGTAATAGGCGCACACGGTGTACTAGAACACAGGGCTATGGATCTTAAATCGATGACTTGAAAGTGATCAAACCTAAAATGTAACCCTCTTGAAATGATCTAACAATAAACTTCAACTTTTCTACGATTATTTCCAATGATAAAGCCGAGCCTCTATTATATCTAACAGTATCGTATGGATAGCGATCAGATCCCGTCAGGCCATATCAAGCATTTAGTCAGTAAATATTTAAAGTCAGTCAATATTCATGCATGTGTACTGAGTATCTAGTGGTTCGTCGAGAATTCTGGTTGAGTATCGGCATTTCAAAAGCGAACGCCGTGGACCGAGATAGGTTAAAAATAGGTTCTTTACAGTGAATTTATTACTGAACGTACATAGTCTAATACCTTCCCGGTTACTACACCATGGCTGTGGGGCGTAAAATATCCTAGTTTGCTGCTATCTTTTTAGCTCAGTGGCACGTGTGGTACACTTGGCGGACAAACATGGTGTAGAGAAGCGAATCTGCGTCCCGTAGAGGCGGTGCGAGCCTCGTTGTCACAAATTGTAACATTATATGAAGCCAGAAGAGTTCTGTATGATCGTTATTCTCAGTGGGGCGTTAAACATTTCGTTCTAACGTTCAAACTACAATGGTTTGTTTCGTTGAAAAAAAAACAAATCGAGAAAAATGACCCATCTCCCCATACATGGCGGTATACCCGGGCTGATGTGATTCGACAATTTAAGGCTGGAAGTCAGTAGCCTAGATTTTTATTTTTATTTGTAATTTAGAATAAACCGGGAGTCAGTTTCCGGTCTTCAACGATATCGTGAGTGAACGTGAGTCTTTGCACGTAGGCAGCGAACGAGATGTCACCGATGGCGATAATCGTCGCACTATAGTCCCGCGGGGAGGCTGGATTGCACGCAGCGTTTCAGTTTACTATAAGCGACAACGTCTCTAATGTAATTTTAAGCGATATTCTTACACTATTTTAATAGAAAATAGCAGGCGTGATGGTATATGAGGAGAATGAAGAAGAATGGCGACGAAAATCTGCATTTGCTAGTGGGACAAAAACATGCGACCTACCCCTCGAATATCGATGCAGTTATGTGATCCAATCTTGCTATAAAAGATCAACTCGACACTATGATCATCGTCCTTACTTTACCACGGCCCTCAGAAATTCTACTCGTGTTCAGTCAGCACAGTAAGCAAGATGGCGACCTACGCAGTTCCCGAGCCATACAGATGGGATACCAGCTTCATGGTGTTCGTAAGTAGAATGCTGGTTTACAAAAGCTGTAAATTATTCAGACAATTGTATTTTTAAGCTATTCGTTTCCACCGTAAAATACGCAATATATATATATATATATATATATATATATATCAAGTCTCTTGATATATATATATATATTAATGAAAGTCGAAGGCTCGCACGAGTCTCCATATTTATTTGTCTGACTTTGCTTTCAGTACGAACGTCTGGACGATGAGCACAAGGGTCTCTTCCAGAGCCTATTTGCTATTGGTACCAACCACGGCTCAAAGGCCGCGCTGAAGAAGTGTCAGGATTTGATGGCTTCTCACTTCCACTACGAGCAGGTAGGTCAAATGTGTTGGTACATCACCAAAGCTATTACACACGTAGTTTAACATAGAAAAAAATGCTTTACTTAGATGTTATAATCCGTATCTGTTCACTACTTTAGCACAACAATACACTTCATGGGGGTATTATATATATATATATATTAATTATTTATATATAAATAATATTTAATTTATATATAATATTTAATTATTTATTTATATGAACTATCAAAACAGACCAATAGTAGCCCACTCTATGATTTTCTTGCTTTATATATATATATATATATATATATAGTTGCTAACCATATAAGGGTTATTAATTTCTACTTTATGGCTTTGACCAGGGCCAGTCATGACAGGGCAAACTACGCCGGCTTCAAGGAGCACAAGAGTTTCCACGACGGATTCCTTGCCCATCTGCCAAGCTGTCCACCCCGGTGTCCGACGAGGAAGTATTCTACTGGCAAGAACTGGTGCGTTAAATTTATCTTGCGAGATGATCGTATTGGCAAATGCGGCGTCTTGTATTTTATGAATTTGTTACGAATTATTATTATTTGTATCATTGTTTGTAGACTAGACACACACGCTCGCGGCCTTTATACCGACTACACACGCACGCACGCACGCACGTACGCACGCACGCACGCACAACACACACAACAGCACAGCACACATCACACAACACACACACACACACACACACACACACACACACACACACACACACACACACACACACACACACACACACACACACACACACACACACACACACACACACACGCGCGCGCGTTACATCCACAAGAATACATAGGTTAGGGTTAGGGCTGTAATGTTTGTTCTCATTACAGGCTGGTGCAGCACATCAAGAACGTTGACTTCGCGTACAGAGGCAAGCTGTAAGATGTGACCCCCAATGTTTTACGACTCGGCCTAATGTTAGTGCAGCCAGCCGCCATCTTTGACTGCGCATTAGAGCTTTGAGGACTCATGGTAATCGGATCTACTATATACGGGCTTCACTGACATAGCTTCACCACTGCCAGCAACAAAGAAACGTGGTGCTATCTTTCACCACCAATACGTCATTTACCGGCAAAATTTTGGTCACTACACTTTCGTGGCCTCATTTTTATGAATCACCGTGATGTTTTGTTATGATACTCAACGACATGAACAACACAAAGCCAGATTTATGTTTGTTTCAGTAATCTTATGTCGTGATGGCTCGTATATAAATACACACTCTTTTTCCCACGACTCTTTATGAAATTCCTGACTATATATAATCCTTTCGATAATTAATGAGCATGGGTTCATCCCACATTGGCGATTCCGTGTATTATTACAAATCCATTAAAATTATTTTGTATATGAACTAAAATTTGCCTGTTGTTATGGATTGCGTATACGTGTTTAGTTTGCTTATACCTTAAGTATTATTATTATATATTTAGTAGGAATCACATTGTAGTCGGAAGATACCGCCACCACTGAAATAATTTGAATATATAATTTAACAGAAAAATTATAGAAAAGATGAAACATAATTACCCCGCGCTACGACAACAACCCGGGTTACGTAAATTTCCCTATACGTAATTCATAAATTATATTATGACCACTTTACTCGACACACGTAACAAAAATTCACCGTCGCTTGATTAAAAAAACTAGTGGATCTTCTTCTTAACAAATAATGAGCACAATCGCCGTACATATATGCACATAATAAAATACAGCCAGCAGACAATACGTCGGGCGCGCCATTTTTGATACGTGTGACGTACCACTGTCGCGTTAGACAGTTTTACCGTGTATGCGTATTCCTGTAACATGTCGCCTCCTCGCACCCACTTTACATACTCGAAGCACATATTACTTATATAAAGAGCAGATATTCACAACAAGCTCAGTTGCTAGCGAGACAGCTTACGAAGCGAAGATCAGCCGTAAACGGCGACCAACTTTAAAATATCTTTCATCTCCAGGTCAGCGCATGACACGCCCAAACCCAACAAACCTACCGGTAAGACCCAGATGAGCCCAGATGAGAGCAGAGAGAGAGAGAGAGAGAGAGAGAGAGAGAGAGAGAACGAGAGAGAGAGAGAGAGAGAGAGAGAGAGAGAGAGAGAGAGAGAGAGAGCTACTGCCCCTTCGGGAAGGCTTATCTCTCCGTCGGAGAAAAAGTCACTAACGCGTCATGGAACCATCTATGAAAAAATCCGCCTGTGACAGCTTTAATAATCCGCACACTGCTCAACGTTGTGTGTAAAAATTATAATCACAATCCCGACAAACCCTTGACTTTTATTTCAAACTTAATTGTTTTAATTCGTTCTTAACGCTCAATTTTGTTTTAATGATTTAGTATTAGCTTGACCAAGACCTATAGCAATAATTTGCTTTTGACTGAATTCAATGTAAATAATGTCATTCAGCAAGCTTGATCAGAATACACGTTCGATACGAAAAGGTCCCTGTAGGCTGTATAGCGCGTGATGCTCACAGTATTTTACCGCATTACCGCCATATAATAACAGCTTCATAACGCTGAATCGCCCATCCCTGTAATAAATTATGTCGTCATGTTGTCGTCAATTATGTCGTCATGTTGTCAACAATGTTGTCATGTGCGTTCAGCAAGTCTGCCTAAAACTTAACTGTTCTCTTCGTATCCCGAATATGAACAACGAACAGAACCGTTACCCGACGCATATCACACAGATAAATCGACAACTAGCTAACTATAATATACGTGTTATTTATAAACTATATAACTATAACTAGCTAACCAATCTAACTATAAACGTGCGTTCGTTCACACACGAGTGGGGGCATGCGTGCACGTATACGCATTGGCGCACGCACATGCAAGCGTGTACTTACACACATACGTGCACGTACACGCGCAACGCACTCATTACCTGTGGTGGATGTACACGCCGCGCATAGGTACACGCACGCGTGTGTTTACAGGACAAGTAGTACTAGTATAAAGTATATAAGTATAAATATAAGTATATTATTAGTCTGTGCTTGCGCACAAGCGACTTGAACTTTGCTATGCGGTATCTTCAGGTTTATGCCACAGAAAGCTGGGTTAGCTTCCTTCCCTGCCTGTTGTGATTACAATAATCCGTGAATGGATTATTAGAGGGTGTGCATATGTGCATGCATGTATATTTATATTATAAATATGTATGCAGAAAGGGTGCATGTGCATATGTGCATGTATGTATATTTATATTAATATGTATGCAGAAGGGTTGTGTGCATATGGGCATGCATGTATATCTATATAAATTTGTATGTATAAATGGTGTGCACATGTGCGATGGATGTGTTGAGCATGAGAGAGAGATATTGTGTGTGTGTGTGAGAGAGAGAGAGAGAGAGAGAGAGAGAGAGAGAGAGAGAGAGAGAGAGAGAGAGAGAGAGAGAGAGAGAGAGAGAGAGAGAGAGAGAGAGAGAGAGAGAGAGAGAGAGAGAGAGAGAGAGAGAGAGAGAGAGAGAGAGAGAGAGAGAGAGAGAGAGAGAGAGAGAGAGAGAGAGAGAGAGAGAGAGAGAGAGAGAGAGAGAGAGAGATGAGAGGAATGCGCGTACGGCTTTTTGAACAGTGGTATATCTCTTCTTCTTTCGTGTTGTTGATCTGTTTTATTGACACGCCTTCATTCCACGCTTTTAAATGTGAGGAAGCAGATAATTGTTTTCTAATGAGGTGATGGCGTGAGGGGTTGGCGAGGGAGGGAAGGCGTGGATGGTACCGTATATGGATAGGGAGATGAGTGAGGGTATTAACCCTAGCCTCGTCGTCACCTCTCCCCGTGTCCTTGTGTACTCACCCGCATTCTGAAGAATAATACGGCCTGCGTAGGTAAAAAGGTTAACTCTTTTAATTTGACAAAATCAGCAGAGCCCACATGTCGTCTGTTATGGAGAAGGCTCGGTTCGTTCTTTATCTTGTCCTGTAGTGATCGCTGGGCATTGTATATGAGATTAGGTTGCAAAGATGCGTGTGAAAACACATCTCTATGAATCTTATTGCGTACATTTCCACCGTACATTTGACGGCATTTACTCACTGACTACTTTTATATGGAAGCTCTGAAACGACATACTATGGAAGCCCTGAAACGACGTATGACTTTTTGAGTTTTCGAGTTTTCGAGTTTCTGAATTTCGTATCGTATATAGTACTACATATGGAGGTCAAGCAAGGGTCACACAGGGAAGAATGTAAACACGTGAGAACACTCATTGAAAAAAAAATTTAAGTCGTAAACAGACACACTGCGCATGCGTTATGACGGAGATTCTAAATTTAAATTAGGCCCTATGCTTTCCCGCTTAATAGAACACACATTTACTCTCACGGTAGGGGATTCTAAATTAGAATTATGCTATCCCGCTTAAAAAGGCACACATATTTACTCTTATGGTAGGAGATTCTAAATTTAAATTGTTCTTTCCCGCATCACATTTCCCGCAACACATTTAATCTCACGGTAGGCGATTCTAAATTTAAACTGACTTTAATGTCACGGAATAACGCATGCGCAGTGTGTTTATTTTTGGACTTCAAACATTTTCTACGACTCTGTCAACACTTTATATATATATATTGATGGGAAATTCAGAAACTCGGAAACTCAAAAAGGCGCATGTCGTCTCAGGTCTTCCATACCAACATAGCTAAAAAATGTCTTTGTCCAGTAAATATGCAAGCTGGACAATTAACGACTTGAAAGAGGAGCTGAAAAAGAGAAATGCGCGGGTTTCTGGTAGAAAGGCTAGTAGAGCGGTGAGTATCTCAAACACGGCGTAGCTAGTACGACTACGAGTACGAGCAGCAGGAGTTACCATACAACCCCGATACAACCTAGCTCCAGAACTATAGTATAGCCCTTGTTCGCCAGCCTGTGGCGAACAAGGGCTATACTATAGTTCTAGACCTACCATACAGCCCAGAACCCTAAATCATTAAAATTTAATGTAAAATATTGAATATGTTACGTTGCTACTTATATTTATGAACGCTTGAAAGTAGATTGTGAGCGCGGTAGCTTGTATAGTAAAGTAGCCAAATAGTTGCTAATGTTATATATCCTGTGTATTATATCCTAGGGTATAGGTGTATCAAATTTGTGATATGTGGGGCGTGTAGCAGTACATGGTTAAACTTGATGCGATTTCTGGAGGGGTGAAGTAGGAGTTTTGCCCCTACAGGCTAGGGCGCTCTCCTCTTTATAAACACAGGTCTACATATAAAAATCTATTTCAGAAAACTATGCTGAGATACCCCCTAACCATAATAAATGCATATTCATCAGAAAATATAGCTTCTGTGGTGAGATATTGCGCATGCGCTAACACTCTAACGTAGCCAGATTGTGTACTGATTGGCATATGCAGCGGACACCTTACATGCAAGGTATTCGTCCTATTTCTTAAGTGAGGTCTACGGATGGTATGTTATCATATAAATCTCTGCTGGGATACCTGCTCTTCATTTTAAATGCATGAATTTTGCAAAATATTCTTCTTCTGATGAGATATTGCGCATGCGCGAGCACCGTTTCAGGCGCTCTGCAATTTGATGACGTCATAGGTCATTACGTAGGGGTTATTCAAAGGTCAAATTAATGGTACTAATTACCTTTGATGTACATATAGTTCATATGAAATATCAAAGTGGTTGGTTGAGAAATGTAGATGACATGGCTAAAAAAAGTCAATGAAATGCAATAAAAGTACAATTAAATGACGTCATAGGGCTACTAATTACCTCTACTGTGAACATACCTCATGTGAAATATCAAGGTAATTGGTTGAGAAATGTTGAAGATATGACTAATTAAGTCCCAAAAAATAGGGAAAAATGCTCCAAAAATGTCCCGTTTTATACCTTCCCATAGTTAAGAATTTCCCAAAATAGGTCAAAATTCCGTCACAAAAATTCCCGTAACTCGTGACAGGAGTTATAACAAATTATCTACTATGCCTATCATTGCTTTTCTTTGTTTCACATCGGACATAATAAAATATATGAAAAGGCATGCGCAGATGAAACTTAGTAACTCAGAAACTCGAAAACTCGGAAACTCAAAAGTCGTATATCGTTTCAGGCTTCGATACTTTTACCTATACTAACTGCCAGATGAATTCACATAGTTTCATTACGTGGAGCCCTCTGTTGGCTGAAATAAGTAAAACGCGCATTCAAAATTGCCTACAAAGTTTCGTAGAAACAATCCGTTGCATGAAAGTAGCATTAAAACAATCAGAGTATGTATGTTGTTCCAATATGTGAGTGAGTTCAAAGCCAAAAAATAAATTTACACTTGAAAACTGAAAATAAAGGATGCCGATTTAATTTATTCA